TGCTATTAATATCTTCTATGGCAGGATTTACACATTTTTATTATAATGATCTTTGGATTTAAACTTAACCTTTAAAATCTTAATTAATAACCCTTCATCTTTAGTGGAGATGGTAGGGCTCTAGGACTTGAAGGCAGAGTGATCTTAAAAACCCTTCTGTGGGCCAGGCACGGTGGCTCACGCCTGTAATCCCAGCTACTTGGAAGACTGAGGCAGAAGGATTGCCTGAGCCCAGCAAGTAGAGGTTTATGGTGGCCATGAGTGTGCCACTTCATGCCAGCCTGGGTGACAGCGAGACTCTGACTAAAAAAAAAAAACAAAACCCAAAAAACAAAAACAAAAAACCCTTCTGTGATTTTTCTCACCTGCAGATCATTTCTCAGTGTCAAGAGAGTGTGTTTTTCTTCTATTCCATCAGACTTGTCTACCTGTTTTAATTTTACTTCTCTGCTTCATGCAGTAGAGACAATCATAACTCTTTTACAATTAGAAAATAGTTCACAAGCATTTTCTTTTTAATTTTTGAGGAAGATTTTGTTTCTGTGATCTCTGATTAGATATTTGCCTTTATAGACATATAGGTTCCATTTTCCACCCTACTCCAACTTAAGGCTGATCTTACCATCCAGTGGTTTAAACAAAATTCCATTTTCTGTATCACATGTTTCAGGTGAGCCGTTCTTCAAAACTGATTTTCAAAAGTGCTCATGAGTCTTATAATACTCTATATCAACTCTTAACTAGAGCAGAAATCTCTATTTTTGAGTTTTACAGTTATTTCATCTTATGGTACTGCTGAAGGGGCTCTGCTAATGGTATTTCATGCAAGTTAGCCTTATTAACCTTGACTGTTTTAGGAAAGAAGGCAGTCGTTCACTTCTAAGATGAGCAGGACATCAGAGGTAGAGGAAGGTCTACATATGCCTCCTCTTTTAATTTTAACCAAAAACTAGCTCCACCATATAGACTTCTAGCCCTTTTTAGGGGAATAGGTAGGACACCTATAATGCATGAATTGTTTAAATAAAGTATGGGATGAAATATTAGATTTGAAGAGGAAAAGACAGGTCAGCAGCAGGACAGGCTATATAATTTGTAAGGCTTAGTGCAAAATGAAAATGCAGGGCCCCTTATTCAAAAATTAAACATCTTAAGACAGCAGCAGCATTAAACCAAGTATGGGGCTTTTCTGAGCATGGAGCCTTCTTAAGGATGGGGCCCTGTGTGACTGTACAGGTCACATGCCCACAGAGCCTGTCCTAGTCAGATATTGAGATGGCAATAAAAAGGAAGAGGAGAAATACATCTCCCTCCTTCCCATCCTTACCTATGTGGCCATCTTTTATGGGTGCACTGCTGTGCCATTGAGCTGAGACACACCAGGCCCTAGTCCATGGGAGGCAGAGGCAGGAGAGGAAGGTTGTGTTCTATCACAGATGGGAGAATGGAATGGGGCGAATGAAGGCTTTCTGAACTGACCTAGGAGAGAAAGCATGAACTTGGGACTCTACAACTTTCTAGCAGTGTAGTAAAGTCACTTGATCTCTCTGAATTGCATTTTTCATTGCTGTAAAATGATGCTATCTACCTTGTAAGGTAGTGGTTTGCTATGCAGTGGAAGCTCAATACGTATTGCATGTGTGGTCATTTTGTGTAAGAGAAGATGCACTGAGGATGAGTGAAACAGGCCTGACATCTCAGATAGGGTGGAGGATCTCAACATGCTTGAAGAGCTTCCTAAGAGCTGGCTGCCTCTCTCAGTTTCTCCTTCATTCCTGAAAACTTTGGAACGGCTTAAAACTCAGAATCACATCCTCTTCCCAAACAGGGTAAGGAGCAATCTGTGGGAAGTCAGTGCACAGTAGAGTTCAGTCTCTAATGCTGAAATTTTGCCAACTTTCACCCACACCACGGAGATGAGAAAGCAGCCGTGGGCAGACAGTAGAGTAAGCTGCGGGGTCTCTGGTGTGCATGACATTTACAGATGAGCCATTGTTTACCTGAGATCCTGTAGTTTGTCTGTTTTATCCAGTTATATTTCCATGAAATATGAAGGAAACAGCCAAAACCATTTTATGTAGTTTTCCTACCTTTTTTTGATTTATTTGTTGTTGTTTACAGTATTATCTCCAATAACCACAATGGATTTTCCTTTCCCACTAATCTGGCCTGTTTCCATCTTGCCTGTTTATTTTAATTTCCTTTTTTTATGAACCAAAATCTCCACATGACTCTGCTTTGTTTATTTCCTTGCATGGATGTGTCAGCATCACTTATTCGTGTGTCCACTCAGGGATCTGTGTTCATTAATGACGTAGGTTTTATTTTCCAGTTTGTAGTGGGAGTGTATTGAATGCTCCATGTTTCTAAGTACTTCGTGATGGTTCTGGTTATCTGTTTCCTCATCACTGCTCTCTGCAAGCAGATGGGTTTGCCTACAGATGCAGATGCCTACAGATGCAGCATGTGAGGCCACAAAGCAGAGAACTGACTCCTTTGCAGGAAAGTGTTTTCTCAGATCCTCTGACCTGTCACTGCTGCCCCTCTTCTCGATTTCAGTTTCCACTTACTTGTATTTGGGTAGTGGATTATGTGAGCATAAGACCTGTTTTTTGCAGACATATTCAAATCCTTGAAGACATTTCCTTCAAAACCAGTCTGTTAACTACTGAGCAATTCCAACTTGCAGTATTAGCTGCTTGGGGGTATATGACACATGTTAGACTTGTTCCTTTCTTATGAAGAACTTACAGCCCACTAAGTCAATACAAAAGTTAAAATTGGCCGGGCATAGTGGCTCACGCCTGTAATCTCAGTACTTTGGGAGACCGAGTTGAGAGGATTACTTGGCTCCAGGAGTTCAAGACCAGCCAGAGCAACATAGCGAGCTGTGGTCCCAACTACTAGGGAGGCTAAGGAAGAAGGATTGCCCAAGCTCAGGAGGTTGAGGCTGCAATGAGCTGTAAACGTGTCTGGGTGACAGAGTGAGACCCTGACTCAAAAATAAGCAAACAGACAAACAAATAAATAAAAGTTAAAAGGAACTGGTAACTTGAGTTTTTCATTTGTTACTTGAGTAGATTGCTGCCTCTTTCACTGGACTCTCATGACTTACTGAATGATTTAATTCATGAATTCATCAAACATTTATTTATTATTACTTACTCTGTATATGACACTATCTCTAGTCTCAAGTTGCTTATAAGACTAGAAGGTGGAAATGGAGTTGAAAGTAAATAATATAAAAAAGTGTTATAGATGACATAATAGAAATCTGTCTAGAATACACAGAGTAACAAAGGAGGGAGACCTTTATTCTCTAGGGGTGGGAATTGGAAAGAAGGGATCACAAAGGCTGTAGGTCTGAGATGTGTTTGGGAACCTTAAATACTTTCAAATGACTGTGGAGGCAGCAGTGTCCACACGAGGCGGGAGGAAGGGGGTGGAAGAAGCCAGACACAAAGGGCCTTAGGTGCCCTGTAAAAGAGTTTGGATTATATTCTCTAGGGAAATTTTTATGTAGACAGAACATCCTTAACAGGTTTACTTTTTTTTTTTTTTGAGTTGGAGTTTCACTCTGTCATCCATGCTGGAGTGCAGTGGCACGCTCATGGCCACCCCAGTGTCAACCTGCTGGACTCAGGTGATCCTTTGCCTTAGACTTCCAAGTAGCCAGAACTACAGGTGTGCAATACCATGCCCGGCTATTTTCTTTTTAATTGTAGAAATGAGGTCTTGCCAGGTTGCTCAGGCTGTTCTTCAAACCATGGGCCCATACAATCCCCTCACCTCAGCTTCCCAAAGTGCTGGGATTATAGTCTTGAGCCACCACACCCAGCCAACAGGTTTACTTTTTAAGGATGGATTCAAGGAGATTTGAATAAAACCAAGGGGGCTCCTCATGATTGTATGTTGCTGAGCCAGGCAAGGTATGATGAGATTCTGAATAAGCCAGTGGCAGATGGAAAGATGCCAGGGAAGTAGACCTTACAGAATTGGTATCAATTTTTAAATAATGTCTTAGAGCAACTGCTGGTGAAACCAAGGCCCAAGAAAGCAACACAGCCAATAAATGTCTAAGGGAATCTTCTTCCATGTTTTATTGCAGTTCTTCCATGTTTTATTGCGGTTCAGAAACATGATTATGGTGACATCTCACATACTGTATTGTAATATACCATATTGTTAGTACTTGTTTACACTCTATCTTCCCTGAGGCTCTAAGCTTCTTAAGGTTAAGAACAAAGTACTGAATTATTTGTGTACACTTAGCCTGGAGCCTTGTAGAAACAAGCACACAATAAATGTCTGAGGAGTAAAGCTCTTGACACCAAAACCAGCTCTTCTTCAACATGGACCACATGGCATGGAAGTATGAAGACAGCACTCAGATTTACCTCACATCCACCCATCTTAATCCTTCCTCCTGAGAGGACCAAAGCAAAGTGATGAGCAGATGTAACAGATGATGCTTTTGCTTTGCTTTAAAATACTGCCTTGTCCAGTATCAGAATGTGTCCTTACCTCTCAAAGTCTGCATTAAAATAACAATAATAGGCCAGGCATGGTGGCTCAAGCTTGTAAACCCAGCATTTTGGGAGGCTGAGGTGAGAGGGTTGCCTGAGCCCAGGGGTTCAAGACCAGCCTAGGCAAAAAATTAGCTGGGCGTTGTAGTATGCACCTGTAGTTCCAGCTACTTGGAAGGCTGAGGTGGAAGGATTGCCTGAGCCCAGCAGGTCAAGGCTGCGGTGGCCGTGAGTGTGCCATTGCACTCCAGCCTGGTGACAAAATGAGACTCCAACTCAAAAAAAAAAAAAAAAAAAAGAAAAAAAATCAATAATAAATGTTTAGAATATAAAAGTGACCATAAAAGTTGATGCCTATTGTGACTGCCTTCAGTGGCCTCATTATCCACAAGTCAAGCATGATAATTTGCTTTCATATCTCTTTCTATGTTACTTAATGTTTTAACCTGGGTCATATTTTATTCTTCCACACAGATTCGTAATGCCTCCTGCCTGCCCCTTTCAAGATGGAGGGGAAAACTGTGGGAGAGTCTACTCAAGTGGCGTCTAAATTCAAACTTTCCACCAAGGTAGAAAGCACAGGACACTGGCTGGTGGAGGATCATACTCGAATATGGGAAGTTTTAAAGACAGAGGAGGTAAGACCACTCTGAATGACATTTGGGTAATGTTGGATTTGTTCATACTTGAGGCTATAATTTTTAGTGTATCCAGTACCACAGGCCAGCTTGGCAAATCTTTATTCAGGGGCCATAGGGACAGCCATGACTAGAGAACAGCAAGTCAGGGATGTGCCTTGGGCATTAATGACTACATGCGGATTCAGCTAAAGGAGGCAGCACTGACAGCCAGAGCTTAAAAAATAATGTTCTAAGGCTCATATGCATATAAACTGAATTTTAGCCTCAGATGTCACTAGTGGCATAGGCGGTCTACCTTCCCTCCCAAGGCTGTGCTTCTGTGACTTTTTTCTCTCTCAGGCCTATTATTATTGAAGTTTCATTTTGACATACCAAATGCTAGTATTTATGTGTGTGTGTGTGTGTGTGTGTGTGTGTGTGTGTGTGTGTGTGTGTGAGAGAGAGAGAGAGAGAGAGAGAGATGCTTCTATAAATTAAGGCTTTAATTTTTATTACGTGTTTGAAGTAAGATCATACATAATGGTAAATATTGAAGAATCATTTCCATATGGACATTGTTTGTGAATGAAGAGCTATAAAAGAGATTGGAAAAGAGAATGGAATTGTTAACCTGATTTTGGAGCTTGGGTTATGTGCCTATTATCAGCTTTAAAAATAAAACGAGACTGGGTACGGTGGTTCAAGCCTGTGATCCCAGCACTTTGGGAGGCTGAGGTGAGAGGATTACCTGAGTCCAGGGGTTTGAGAACAGCCTGTGCAACTTGGTGAGACCTCATATATCATAATCATATATCATAGATCATAAATCATATATATATATAAATCATATATATATATCATATATCATAGATCATACATCAAAAAATTAACCAGGCCTGGTGGCACATGCCTATAGTTCCAGCTACTTGGAAGGCTGAGGCAGAAGGATCACCTGAGCCCAGCAGGTCGAGGCTGTGGTGATCCTGAGTGTGCCACTGCACTCCAACCTGGACAACAGAGTGAGACTCCTACTCAAAAAAATAATAAAATAAAATAAAATAAAATGAGAGCTAGAGGTTTAAATACATGGGAAAGAACATCTCAGAGAGAGGAAAAACAGCAAGAACTTCAAAACAACTAATGTGGTACAGAAATGTAATATGGAGTACACAAAACACTTAGTCAATGGTATTTTAGCTACCAGAAATACTGGGAGCTGTTTTCTGAGGGACCTCCCTGAGTGGTATTCATTATCTTAGGTGGTTGTTCAGGGTCTGGTTCTCAGCTTGAAAACCCAGAAATTTTATTTTCTCATATATCTTTACAGAAGATCTTTCTGTGTCTTCCATGTCTTAATTTACATGAATTAAGTATATGTGACTGATGTATAAAAAGACAATGCCAATCCCTTCATTAATAAAAACAAATAGAAGAGTTTTATCTCCTGGACTACTCAGATTAGAAGGCCTAGAACAAATTCTTCTAGTAGGCAAACCTAAGTGGGAAATAAAATAATGGTGAGAAAGTTGATTCCTATATAACAGGTGGAAATATACAAATTCTTTGTTTGACAGAATGAGGCTAAGTGTATATCAGCTAGGGATCTTTGGTGGCAAGCAACAGAAATTGACTGTTTTAAGCAAAATGGGAAATTATTAGAGAAGCTTACAGAATTGATGAGAAGTTTGGAGAACTAGACTTGGAAATGGGACAGGAACCAAAGTAGTGGAGACTGCTCGGAGCACTATACCTGGCACAAATTCCAAACTAGTTCCCCTTCCTTCCTCTCCCTGCCATATATTCTCATATTTCTCTGCTCAGGATGCAAAGCCATGGGAGAGAGAAATTCACTGCCAAGTTTAGTCAAACTTCTTTCTTTTGGCTATTCTATAAAGAGGAAAAGAAATCTTCCATGAGAAATCATTATACCATGCCCTCACTACATTTGTGCATAGAGTCCAAATTTCTAATATTCACACATTATGATAATTCCAATCCAAGAAAATAACCTAACAGTCTTAAACATGTAAAATCCAACAGAAGCAAATGCAAACCCTCTCTTTGGGGGTACTTTCACATTTTTTTTTAAAGAAATAAAACTCTACAGGTAGTGGTTGAAGTCTTTGTGTATCCCACCTAACAGGCCCAAGATAGCATAAGATAAATGATGTGCTGAGGGCATAAAATTTAAGGAAGCTGTCACTCTTAGGTTTGTGGCCTGCACATTTATGTTGCTCCCTAGGTTTCTTGCTTGTCTCACCCTAGTCCTGGCCCTGCTACCCATTCCTATTTCCCTCTTTCCTTTCCCAGAGGTAATCACAATTCTGAATTTGGTGTTTATCATACTTATTCATTTTTCAATATTTGTAAGACATGCATGTGTATCTATATATCTAATATATGGTATTTATTTACATCTTTTAAATTTCATATAAGCTTATACTATATATCTACAACTTATTTTTTTCTCTTAACACTTTTTTTCTATCTTTATACTGATATATGTAGTTCCAGTTTATTCATCTTAACTAATATTTATATTCTGTTGATTAATCGAGTTAAATTTATCCATTCTCTTATTGATTAACTTTTAGTTTTCTTTCAATACAATGGACAGTATATTTTTTCCTCGTGAGCATGTGCTAGAGATTTTTCTTTTTTTAAAAGAAAAAAACTATTATTTGTTTTATTCTCCCTCCCTCCCTTCATTCCTTTCTCTCTCTCTCTTTCTTCTTTGTTTGCTAGAGTTTTTTCTAGCATAGATACCTAGAGGTGCCATGCCGAGATGTAAGATTTGAATACTTTTAGTATTGCTAGCTATTACCAGATTGTCTCTGAAATGAGATCATGTGTTTACATCCCTGTTAACAGCATATGAGAGCTCCCCAGTTTCATATCATCACCTGTTACTGTTATTGACAGACCTTTAATTGTTGGCTAATCTATTTTGAATTGGGGCCTTGTGTTGTAACCAATTTCTTTGAATTCTTGTGAAGTTGAGTATCTGTTCACATGGTTATATGCTATTTAGTTTCCTCTTCTGTAAATTATCTGTTCATATCCTTTGCCTATTTTTTTCATCAGGTCATTTGTCTTTCCTTATTGACTTCTGGAAACTAATGTATTGTTTACTAATCCTTTTTATTGATTTTATGCACTGAAACAATATTCCATCACGCTAAATTTTTAAGTTTTAATTTTTAATGTAAAATTTAGCAATCATCTTTTCCCCTTATGAGTTGTGCTTTTTTCTTCTTTAAGAATTCTTCCTGACCCTGAGATGATATACATATTCTTTATTTTTTTCTAAAAGTTCTATGTGCTTGATTTTATTTACTTGGAATTTATTTCATAGTCTGAAGTAGGGATATGGTTTTATTCATACAGATTATCAATTATCCTAGGGCCATTTTTGAATGTTCATCATTTGTTCTTCAGTTTTTAATACTGTCTCTCATGTATCATGTTTCTACTCATATTCTCTTGGCTGACATGCTACCCCTTCAATTATTCTAGTTCTAAAAAAAACCTGAATATCCAACAGAACATGTCACTCGACTGAATTAATGACCTTCAAAATTGTCTTGGCTGTTTTGGAACTTAGATTTTCCATATAAATCTTGGTTGAGCTTGTTTAGTTCTGCAAATATGAAGAAAAATTAAGCAAAACCTTGTTGAGAATTTGATTAGGATTTAAATAAATGTGTTGACTAACTTAGGAAGTAGCAACATCTTTATATTCAGTGAAGATCTTGTCTTCTTTACTTTAAAGATTATGCTTCAGTATTTCACCCTTAATGTTTCACCAATATTTTATCTCATATTCTTTTGCTGTAGGATTTTTATAACTAAGGTTAAAGTTCCTTCTGTTTCTTTTTTTGGTTAAATGTGATTTTTTAACATTATAATATTTGAGACTTATACATGCAAATTGTAGAGTGTAATATTAAAACAAATACTTGTGAATCAGCAATCAACTTAAGAACCAATTTGTTGAATCTGTTTGTGAACTTATATACATCCTATTCCCTTGATATCTCTCACTGCCAAGGTAACATTTTAACCATTATAACCAATAAGACTTATATATGTCTTACTGTTGCCCACATGTAAGAGGTTTCCCAGGTTAATGCCTGTTAAATAATTTTGAGTTAGTATATGCAAGTTCTTGAAATTTTTCTTGGAAATTTATGTTTAATTCTTTTACTTGCTAAAAGTCTTTACTGCATGTATATTGTTTAGTTATATACTCGCACATGTATGTGTATATAAACACATATATAACAGGGGTGCCAACAAATGTATACACATTTTAAGAAATGTTAAGAGATGTTGGTCATAATTAAGAGTGTCTGGACGCTGATGGTAACCATTTTTCTTTTTTTTTTTTTTGAGTTGGAGTCTCACTCTGTCGCCCAGACTGGAGTGCAGTGGCCGCTCCCGGCCACCGCAGCCTCGACCTGCTGGGCTCCAGCGATCCTTCCGCCTCAGCCTTCCGAGTAGCTGGAACAGGTGCAGGCTACCATGCCTGGCTAATTTTTGATTTATTGTAGAGATGACGTCTCGCCAAATTGCCCAGGTGGATCTTGGATCCGTGGGCTCAGGCAATCCACTCACCACAGCCTCCCGAAGCACGGGATTACAGGCTGAGCCACTGAGCCCGGCGATCGTAACCATTTTGAGCACTTCTTGTAATTGCAGAAGTCAAATGTGACTTGTGTTCATCTTATTAAGTATTACAATTTTAATACGATTTTTTTCCTTTTTAAAAATGTGTATGCATTTTTTTGGTACCCTCTATATTTATATATAGAGTCTTTGGTTACTCATTCCTTTCACTCAACATTATGTTTATAAGATTTTCAAGATCCACAATAATATTTATAGTAGTAATTAATTAATTTTCACTGTTGTATTATATGCCATTGTGTGGTTATATGATTTATTTATTCACAGTAATGTTGATGGACATTTATTTATAGGGTTTTTTTGCCATTTGAAAATACTGCTATAAACAT